CGGGCCCGCGGGAGTGCGGTTCTGGCGGCGGGGCAACGGGGGGCGCGCAGTCCAGCGCCGTCCTGGCCGAGCTGGGCGCGCGCCGCAACAGTCTGCGTCGGTCAGTCTTCCTCCTCCTCCTCCTCCTCCTCATCATCCTCCTCCTCCTCCTCCTCCTCCTCCTCCTCCTGCTCCTCCTCCTCCTCCTCCTCCTCCTCCTCCTCCTCCTCCTCCTCCTCCTTTGTCTTTCCTTGTAGATAACTCCTCCCTGTCGCACCCCGAGGCCAGTCGGAAGTGCGGGCTGGGCAGTTCGCCTGAGACTGCCTCTCCATGTACGATCCTGAGGCTCACAAATTGGAACTAGTCCCACCGATGGAAGGCGGGCCGCTTCCAAAATGTGGTCCTCGCCGCAGCGCCGCGCACACTCGTGCTTGATATCCCACCAGAGTTTCGCGGATGGAGGGCGGGTCGTTTTCAAGATGTGGCCCTCGCCGCCGCGCCGCGCACGTTCGTCTCAAACCTTCGCCTTCGCGACAGCTTCGCGGCTGGATGGGGCGGGTCGCGTTCAAGACGCGGCTCTCTCGCCTTCCGCGCCGCGCGTGCCCGCCTTAAAGATTTGCAACAGTTTCTCACGAATTGAGGGCGGGCCGCCTCCAAAATGCGGTTTTCGCATCAGCGCCGCGCACGGTCCCCCAAAAACGTACATCAAGGGGCCCTGCGACACACACACATAATGCACACACATAAATAAACAAAAAAAAAAACATTCCCCAGATGTTCCCATATTTTCTGGGTGTCTGTCTCCCCCCCCACTTCGCATATCTTCCCATATTTTCCTGGGGAATCGACCATTAATTGTGTCTGTGTGTTTTTGTCCCTCCTGAAATACAGGAGCGTCGCGGATGGAGGGCGGATCCTTCTCAAAAAATGTGGCTCCGGCCTCAGCGCCACGCACCTTCGTCCAACAGCATGCAAGAGCTGTTTGGACTGAGAGCGGCTCCTTCTCCAAATGTGGCTCTCGCCTTAGCGTTAAGTCGGGCCTGTCCCCCTACAGGGGGATCTTCGACGAAAAATGACAAATACCCCCAAAATGCCACCAAAAACGTCCAAAAATACTCAAAAAATAGTCCCCCGACTAATTTAGGACTAGAACCACGCGCGCGCTTCGCGCGCGCTTAGGTTCTAGCGCAGGCCCAAATGCTACCACGAGACGTGGAATTCATGCCGTGTTGTGCGTTGAGGTTGGCGCCCGCTTGTGCTGGTTTCGCGGCTCCTTTGCTCCAGGAGGGGAGCAGGAAATTTACTTCCTTGACATTGACGACATTTGTCATTTGCATACTGGGATTGGCGTCTACTCCTCCTCTCATCCTCCTCCCTGCACTGATCCATATCATCGTCCTGATCCTTCCTCTCCTTTTCGTTGTCCTCCCTCCTCCTCGTGCAGCCGTCGCCTCTCGCGCTCCTCCACCCATCCCTTCCATCCCCTCCGTGCGCCTCCTCCTCCTCCTCCTCCTCCTCCTCCTCCTCCTCCTCCTCCTCCTCCTCCCCGTCGTCCCCGTTCCCTCTTCTCGATCCTCATCCTCCCTATCCTTTTTCTCTTTCTTCTGGTCGGGGCGACCTCCTCAGAGAGGGTTTCCCAGCCTCTTCCCCCTCCTCCTTCCCGTTCATCCTCTCCTCCCACCAGGGATAATGGAGGGGGGCGAGGGGGGGGAAGGGAACGAGGAAAAAAGAGGGAGGAGGAAACAGGAGGAACACGATGTGGGGGTTGGGGAGGCGGGGAGGACGAGGTAAAGGCGCTGCAAAGCAACGCAACGCAGCACAATGCAACGCAGTGCAAAACAATCCAAGGATCCTGACGAACCCGAGAAACCCCAGGAACCCAAAAAACCCAGGGATGGGGAGCCGAAGGGGAGATCCCGGGGAACCTGGGCTGGGGGTCGAAAGTGACATCTGGTCTCTGCCTCAAAGGAAGGGAGAAAAGAAGAAAGCAAGAAAGATGAGGAGAGAGGAAGCGAGAAGCGAGAATACGGGCGGAAGGATGGATGAGCGACGACTCAAGCAGGGGTGGGCGGAGGGAGCATGAATGGAAGAAGGGAAATGAGGCAGGCTGGGGCGGAGAACTCGATTTTTCAGTTCGTGGTTCCTCTCGTGGGCCCATTTTGAGGTTCTCCTGGGCCGCCCCGGGCGTCTCTTGGGCCGTCTCGGCGTCCCCCTGGGTCGTCTTGGGGCTATCCAGGGGGTTTCTTGGGCCGTCTTGGGGCAGTTTTCCAGGCCTTTTGGGCCGTCATGGAGCGTCGGAAAGCCGAATAAACGATGAAACAGAAAACCTGGAAAAAACAATGAAAATCAACAATGTGTGGCCTCCCTCCTCCCTCCTCCTCCTCCTCCTCCTCCTCCTCCTCCTCCTCCTCCTCCTCCTCCTCCTCCTCCTCCTCCTCCTCCTCCTCCTCCTCCTCCTCCTCCTAGTTTCGGCTCGAGAGCTTTGGGTGCGACAGCCAGCCTGTCGCGAGCTCTCCTCGGGCTGGGACCATCGCGCCTTCGGAGGAGGCGTGGCACAGGCGGGCGCGCCGCCAGCGCTCCAGCGCGCGCTCCCTTGTCCGCGCCTGGAAGGGGGCGCGGTCGCCGCTGCTGCAGGCGCGCCTCGTAGAGGCGGCCCGCCTGTTTGACGCTCACCACGGGTCCTCGGCTGGCAGCATGGCTGTGGGCGCTGGGCGTCGCGGTGGCGGTGGCGCAGGGCGGCAGCCTGGGTGGCAGTGCCCGTGCCAGGGATGTGGCTACTACAACTTCGGGGAGCGGGACACGTGCCGTGTGCTGGGGTGCAAAGGCAAGCGACCCCCCACGAGGCGGCCCGCGGAGCTGGGGGACTTCGTGGTGCGGCCGCGCCCACGCGCTCCTCGTGGACCTGGGGCAGGCGAGGGTGGGCAGCGCGCGGGCGGTGGTGGAGCGCCCAAGCGAGCCCCCTGGTGGCCTGACGACCGTGCTGGTGCTGGTGGGGGTGGCACCGCAGCAGCTGGTGGTGGTGCAGGTGCAGGAGGTGAGGGCACTGGCATCAACGAGGAGCTGTGGCACAAGCTGGTGCAGTTGCCTGAAGACGCCTTCAAGGTCAGCGCCCAGCTGCTGGACGCCAAGACCAAGCGCGGGATTCTCCAAGCCAGGAGGTTGGCACAGGAGGGGCTGGGCGACCTCTCCAAGGTCAAGGAGGTCAAGGCGGCGCAGCTGCGGGCCGACGAGAAGTCCGTGCAGGTCACGAAGGTGGAGGGCCAGCTGGAGCAGGCCAAGGCGCGGGCTCATCGCGCTGTCGCTGAGATGGCGGAGCTGGGGGAAAAGCTGGTGCAGCTGCGGCGCGAGCTGGAGGAGGCCACGGTGCAGGCCAAGGCGGCCGTGGCAGCCCAAGCCGCGAAGCAGTCCGAGGCGGAGACGGCGAAGCCGAAGGCACCAGCTGCGGCGGCCCCCACGGCCGTGTCGGCTGGGCTGCGGGCAGCGATTGCCGCGGAGCTCGCCAGCCACGCGGCAGAGGCGCCTGAGCTGGTGGTCAAGCTTGGCGGGGCGCTGGGCGAGATTCTGGACAGCCACGCCAGCCAGGCGGCACCTGAGGCGGCTGCTGCTGGGCTTCCGCGGCAGCAGGAGGACGTGGGTGCTGGTGGTGCGGCTCATGCCCCTGCAGCTGCGGCCGCTAGCGTGGCGCCCGCTCCTGCAGCCGCGGCGGGCGAGCCAGCGGCAGGAGGAGCCAATGGGGCGACTGGGGTGGACCAGGCCTGGCGCGAGCTCGCCATGGAGATGGAGGACCCCGAGAAGCGGAAGATCGCCGAGGTGCTCAGGGAGGAGCAGGCGGGGTCGGAGGCCAAGCGGCTCCGCACAGTGGCTGAGGCTGGTGCGCAAGACTCCTAGCAGGCAGGGTGCCTGCTGGCGGTTCTGCACGGTCAACGTGAACGCGTTCTGCAACCTGGATGCGTGCCTGGCGGTGCAGGAGGTCAAGGAGTGCGACGCGGTCCTCGTCCAGGAGACCAGGCTGCTGGAGGGAAGGACCAGCGATGTGGAGGCTCAGCTTCGAGCCCAGGGATGGCGGGCGCGCGGCACGCCAGCCGTCCCGTCGTCGGCAGGAGGGCTCAGCTCTGGAGGACTGATCTCCATGGTTCGGACCGCCTATGGGATGGCGGAGGTGGACGACCCGATGGGTGCCGTGGTCGTCCCAGGCAGAGTTCACGTCTGCTGGGTCGCAGGGGTGAGGAGAGGCGGTGTGCTTCTCGGCAACGTCTACCTCGAGGCGGGGGTCGGCCTGAACGCGAGTAACGTGCAGGCGCTCACGCTGCTGGCGAGGAGGCTCAAGCAGTACCAGAAGGAGTACCTGGTTGGTGGTGATTTTAACCTCACGGAGGAGGAGCTGAGGGACGGAGGTATGCTCGCCATGTTTGATGCGGTGGTGGTTCGTCCTTCGACTCCTACGTGCGCATCGTCGGGGAGGGTCATCGACTTCTTCCTGGTGTCCAAGGGCTTGAAGGCGTGCGAGGTCAGCGTGGTGCCTGCGTCGCCCGTCTACCCGCACTCCCCTGTCCTTGTCAAGGTCGGCGCGACGGGGCCCCGTGCGCCCTTCCGCGTGGCGCAGGCGCCGAAGCCCTTCCCTGTCCTGAGGCCCTTGGGGTGCTGCGAGTACGACCACGTGGGCAGATGGAAGCGGAGTCGGCAGGAGATGAGGAGGCTCCTCAGGCCGATGGTGGATTTCGTGGACGAGGAGGTTGAGGCAGGCGCGGGCTGCAGCCTGGGGGGCCCAGTCCCGTTGGGAGCGGGCCCCCAAGGCACATGCACTGGGTCTGCCAGTTGGCCGCAGCCTGGGATAAATTGCGGCAGCCATCCTGGAGTGGAAGAGGTGGACGCGCGGCATGCGCAGTCCCACCCGGAGCCCCAGCCACAGGTCCGACCGGCGGGGCTTGCTGGAGGGAGCGCGGCAGGCTGCTGCGAGGAGGCTGGTGCTGGTGAGGTGGCTGCTGGTGCTGATGCCGCCTTGGGGCTGGGCCGCCTCGCAGGCTGCCGCAGTGTGCTCGCGCCGCCCCCTGCGCTGGCCACCGCGGCTTCGGCGGTCAGCCTTGGCCAGCTTTGCGGGCAGCTGGACGAGCAGTGGCAGGAGGCAGTGCGAGGATGCGGCTTGCTGCGGGAGCCTGAGGAAGAGCCAGAGCACCGGGAGGCGAGGAGCACGCCTGAGGACCAGACCAGAGGCGCGGCGGAGCCCGTGGAGAGGGCTGGAGGCGCTGGGGACGCCATCTCGGAGGCGGAGGCCCCGGCAGCGGTCCCGGCGACCCCGGCGGAGGCCCCGTCAGCGGTCCCGGCGGCCCTGGCGGCGGTACCGGGGGGGCGCCGGGTGGCCCCGGGGGGAGCGAGAAGAAAAAATATGTTTTTTCCCGTTCTGGCCGGGCCCGTGGAGAGGGCTGGAGGCTCTGGGGACGCCCTCTCGGAGGAGCCAGCCGACCGCCTCCTTGGCGGGAAGTGCGTGCCAGCAGGAGGAGGATGCGACGAGGAGAAGGTCAAGGAGGGCCTCAGCATGGCCCTGGGCGCCTTCCTCCAGTGCGCGGAGGAGGAGTGGATCGACGTGTACCAGCTGGGGGAGGAGCGCGACAGGTATTCTGGTAGAGCTGAAGGCTTCTCCACCAAGGTCGTCGTCAAGAGCGGGGTGCAGCAGGCGAGGTCGCCGAGGCTTACCCCTGAGGCGGCGTGGGTGGCCAGGGTGGCCAACGCGCTGCGCGCCGCCTCCAAGGTGGGCGCGCCACGCGCCAGGCAGGAGGCGCTCGGGTACTTGCCTGCGCTCGCGGCTCGCGTGCCGCAGCGGGTTCGGACGCTGCAGGAGGAGGATGAGGTTGAGGAGGCTGAGGGCAGTGTGGCCAGCTGCGGTGCAGTGGCAGGCAGATGGCACGGCTTCCTGCTGTACGGCGCGGTGGCGCTGTGGGACCCGTTCGCGCTGGCACACATGGCTGACCTCGCCAAGCGGCATGCCAGCGAGCTAGCCCAACGAGATCTTGCCGAGCGAGGCAAGCGCTTTGACGAGTGGGTGGGTAAGCAGCTCAAGGGAGGAGCAGCAGGGCTGCACGCCGTCACTCGGGTGCCAGTAGGATGGCAGAGCAGCACTTGCAGTGGCAGCTCGGGCCCCGCAGGCCTCGGCAAGGAGATCGAACTCCTCGAGGCCGAGTGGGGCAAGCACTGGAGGATCGAGTGCGACCACGCCGAGCTGCAGTGGCCCTCAGATCTGGGCGAACGGCCTCCGCGGCCGTCCGTGGAGGACCTGCGCCGCTGCCTCCGCTCCTTCAAGAAGGACACGGCCTCGGGCTTCGAGGCCATCAAGCCCAGGCAGCTCCTCGAGCTCAGCAGCGAGGGGCTAGAGGCTCTGATCGACCTGCTGATGGCCGTGGAGCAGATGGCGGAGTGGCCGCAGCTGCACACCAAGATCGTGTTCTTGGCTAAGCGGCTCGGGGGCGTTCGCCCTGTGGCCATCATCCACGTGGTGGCCAGGGTCCAGGCGAGGCTGCGCAAGCCGCTGGCGGACGCCTGGGAGCGCAGGAACGACCGCCCCTACTTCTGGGCGTCCAGAGGCAAGGGCTGCGAGAGGGCGGTGTGGCAGCAGGCGGTAGAGTGCGAGTGGGCCTCGGCGAAGGGGCGTGAGGCTGGTGACGCCTCTAGCTGGGTGTCAGCGCTGGTGCTGCTCGACCTGCTCAAGGCGTACGAGCAGGTGCAGCACGGGCGCCTCATCCAGGCGGCGGTGCGAACGGGCTTCCCGCTGTGGCAGCTCAAGCTGCAGGTCAGCCTCTACAGATCTCCGAGGTGGCTTGCGCTGGGAGAGGCCTTGAGCAACCCCATCGCCACCAAGCAGGCGGTGCTGCCAGGCGACGGCTTCGCCACGCTCATGCTCAAGATGATGCTGATCGAGCCCCTCGACAAGCTGCAAGCGCTGGTGCCCACCGTCTCCCTGTCGGTGGTGGTGGACGATCTCATCCTGAAGCGTGTCGGAGGCCTGCGGCGCACGGTGGATGAGGTGGCGACGGCGACACGGCGCCTCAAGGAGCTCCTGGGGAAGGCCGACCTTCGCATCGCCACCAAGAAGTCCAGGGCCCTCTCCAACTACCCTGAGGCGAGGCACGAGCTGGAGCGGAGGCTGCAGAGGACGGCAGGCGTCACTGCGGCGAGGCAGGAGCGCAACCTGGGCGTCGACTTCAGTGGAGGCAAGCGGCTCGGACGTGAAGTACGAGCAGGAAGGATGCAGCAGGCCCAGCAGCGCCTTCGGAGGGTGAAGATCGTCAAGATGACGAAAGGCAGGAAGCCCGCGACGAGGAGGCTCGCGAAGACCGCCCTGCACCCCAGCATCGGGTACGGCACGGCCATCACAGGCTGCACCACGACCGAGCTCGATCGTGCCAGGTCCCTGACGTTCGTGGCGGTGTCGAACACCACGGCGGAGAAGTCAAGGACCCTCACGATGATGCTCCAGCCAGGGCTCGACCCGATAGTCGACGCCACGTGCAAGCCCGTGCAGATGCTACTGCGCGCGGTGTGGGAGGGCTGGGTGCCACGCCACATGGTGGTCTTCTGCCTGCAGGACGCGCGCACGGTCACGTGGGCCCACGTCCAGGGCCCTTGCGCGGCGACGCTTCTCTCGCTGCGGAGGATTGACTGGGAGGTCGTCACGGCCAATTGCTGGAGGATGGACGATGGTGGCCTCCTTGCGCCGTTTGACATCTCCCCGTGGATCGTGATCAAGCTGGTGCAGCGGGCCATCGTGAAGTGGCAGTGGAGACAAGCCAGCCTGGCGCCTGGGTGCGCTCACCTGGCGGAGGGCGGGACGCTGGAGCCGCTCATCAGGCTCACCTCCACTGGCTGTGTCACGAGCGTGGCGGACAGGAGGGACGGTATCGCCGCGGGCACCAAGGTGCGGCTCACCCTCAAGGAGCGGGCGTACCTCCACTCCCTGGTGGTCAATGGGCAGTGGCCCCAGGCGCGCAAGGAGGAGAAGGGCCTTGCCGAGTGTGCTGAGTGCCTGCGGTGCGGGGGCAGAGGGACGCTCCTGCATCGCCACTGCGATTGCGAATGCTGGAGAGAGGTGCTGACGCTTCCGAAGGAGATCGCGGACCTCAGGAAGCGGAGCCACCTGCCCGAGGTCACCCTGCTGTTGGAACGGTGCCTGTGGCCGACGCCGCCTGGGCTACGCAAGCCACGGGCCAGTGACCTGGTGTGCTGGCGCGGCGACCACGACGGCGGGGTCCTCCCTGGTGGCGAGTTCTTCCTCGACGGCTCCGCGTTCGAGGCCGACTTCGACGAGTTCGCATCGGTCGGCTGGAGCGTGGTCGCCTTGCAGCCCGATGCCGATTGCTACCTGGCCTCCGTTGCTGGGCAGTTGTGCGGCGCCTACGTCGACATCAACGGGGGCGAGCTCATGGCGGTGATCATGGCGCTGCGGTTCAGCATGGGCGTGGTCACGCTGGTGGTCGACTCGAAGTACGTGTACGACGGCTTCTACAAGGCGGGTCGCACGAACACCGCCGCCTACGCGTACTCCTGGGCGCACCTGTGGCGGCTGGCGTGGGCCCTGGTGGACGACAGAGGAGGGCTTGGTCGTGCAGTGCACCTCCGATGGGTCCCTGCCCACCGCACCAGGAGGCAGGTCGTGGACGGCGCCATCAGCTACCGCGACTGGAAGGGCAACTCGTACGCCGACGCAGCTGCGAAGGCGGCGGCTGCCCAGGGCCGTGCCTCGGCCGCCGACCGCCGCAAGCTGCACCTGGCTCGGCAGCAGGTGGACTTGGTGGCCATGTGGTGCACTGCGGTCGGCACATGGGTGGATGGCAGCGACACCACCCATCGCAAGGAGCGGCCGAAGAGGGCGGTTCGGCGGCGCCGCGAAGCCTCCGCGTGGCTGAGCTGCAGCTGGCGCGGGAAGGGCAAGGACAGATGGTGTGAGGTCTGCAGGTGGACCAACCGCGCTGGCGAGTGCCCTGGCAGCATCCTGGAGGACGCGGTGAAGGCCAACGAGCTGCTGGTGCAGAAGGGGCTCGCGGCGCACGACCTGGTCGCCATCGCTCCTGTGCTGGACAGCGAGCTGGAGCGGAGGCTGCCGTTGGTCGCATGCACCAGGTGCGGGTTCACTGGAGCCGCTCGCGCCTGCAGCTTCGGGCTGGAGTGCAAGACGCCGCCCTCGGCCGCGGGCAGCGCGGCTATCGCGCGCCTGCGTGCTGGGCTCGCGCCCAGGATCGCGAGCGAGGTTGCCGTCGCGCTGCGGCGCCTTGGCGGTGGCGAGCCGACGGCAGCAGCAGAGGAGGTGGGCGCTGGCCCCGCCCCTCCTCCCGCCGAGCCCATCAGTGGGAGCCCCGTCGCTCGTGGCGAGGACGGTGGCCAGAGCGTGCCACCTATGAGAGGTGAGGACTGGGGCTCTGAGGCGGCGGAGGGCGTCAGAGGCGGCGACGGCGCTGGAGGTGAGGACTGGTGCGCCGCTGGAGCAGCTGCAGAGGCCGCGGCGACCCCCACGACCCCTGGGGAGGGCGAGGCCGATGGGGAAGGCCGAAGGGACGCCAGCGGCCCAAGAGGGGTGGAAGGGCCGCCAGCGCGGCGCCACCAGGGGCCTCCGCCGCGGGCTCACCGCCCTGCGGGCGGGGGCGAGGACGAGGGCGCGGACTCTGCTGAGGCGGCAGAGAGCGGCCCAAGAGGGGTGGAAGGGCCGCCAGTGCGGCGCCACCAGGGGCCCCTGCCGCGGGCTCACCGCCCTGCTGGCGGGGGCGAGGAGGGAGAGGGAGCGGCCGCGGGCTCTGCGGAGGCGGCGGAGGCAGCGCGGCGGAGCTCCGTGGTCGCCTCGCTCCTGGCCGCCTACCGCCGCGGCTGTGACGCGGCGGGGCTGAGCGACGGCGCTGCTGCGCGCACGCCCCGCACTGGAGGCCCCCAGGGGGCCAAGCCAGGCGGGGCTGCTGGACTCGCCTCGGACCCTGGCGGCGGGGGGCCCCGTGTGGCCTCCGTGGCTCCCGTGCCTGTGGGTGCCGCCAGGCCCGAGGGCCTGGGGTGAGTGCGGCCGTCTAGGACCCCGCTTGCGGGGTGCTAGGGGCGGTCGCACTCACGCGGCGGGGGGGCCTCGTCGCCACTGCGGCCTCGCGTGGGGCGCGAGGTCGCGCTCGGGGCGGTCCTGGCTCGACTGGACCGCTCTATGCCGCGCCGATCCTCCTCCTCCTCCTCCTCCTCCTCCTCCTCCTCCTCCTCCTCAGGTGAGTCCAGGGGGGCGCCGTCCAGATCGTTATGTACGCCCGGCCGCCAGCCCAAAAATTTCGGGAGCAATGTTAATGATTCCGCTGGTGTGCTCGCCCCGCGAGCCACTTT